CTCACATAGGTGATTATTATAAAGAGTATCCTGCCATACTCCACTAGGTATACCTAGATATAAGAATCATAAAAAGCATTACTTAACCTAAAACGCTGCAGACATCACTATTTCATCATAGAAATGGGTAGGAGTTTGACTCCCCAGTGATCTTTCTGAGTCATACACAACTCGGTTGTCCCTTTGAACTTAGATCTTGGGATCTCCAGTCAACTAGGTTGGGCTGCCATTTTGGTAACTCTTATTTAATAGGCTTAAGTCTCATTCCTCTCAATGAATTTTCAACTAACTCTCTTGCTAACCCTTTGGTTAGTGGATCCGCTATGTTGTCTTTAGACTTCACATATTCAATGGAAATAATTCCATTAGAGAGTAGTTATCTCACGGCGTTATGTTGACGACAAATGTGTCGTGACTTACCGTTATACATATGACTTTGTACTCTACTTATTGCTGATTGGCTATCACAATATATGCATATAGAAAGCACCAGTTTTGTCTACATTGGAATATCTTCAAGGAAGTGCCAAAGTCATTCTACCTCTTCCCCAACTTTATTTAAAGCTATGAATTCTGACTCCATAGTAGACCTAGCAATGCAAATCTGTTTGGAAGATTTCCAAGATACAGCCGCATCACCAAGAGTAAAGACATATCCACTAGTAGACTTTGAGTCTCTAGTATCCGATATCAAATTTGCATCACAGTATCCTTCAAGTACTGCTGGATATCTAGTATAATTTAGCCCAATGTTACGAGATAACTTAGAACCCTTATAGTTGCTTTCCAATGTTCTACTCCTGGATTACTCTTATATCTACTTAATTTACTTACTGCATAAGCTATATCCGGGCGAGTGCAGTTCATCAAGTACATTAAGCTTCCAATAATTTGGACATACTCTAATTGAGAAATACTTTCTTGTACGTTCTTAGAAAGAAACAAATTAACATCCGCAGGTGTTTTAGCAAGATGATCATCATCTTTACTGAATTTCTCAAGTATTTTCTCAATGTAATGAGATTGTGACAAAGCATATCCTTCTGATGTTTTGGTAATTTTCATGCCAAGTATTACATCAGCAATACCTATGTCCTTCATGTCAAAATGTTTATTCATCATTTTCTTGGTAGTTTTAATCATGTCATTATTACTGCCTATGATGAGCATATCATCCACATAAAAACATACAATAACATAACCTTTGTCTGTGTTTTTAATATAAACACATTTGTCACACTCATTAATTTTAAATCCATTTGACATCATTGCCTTGTCAAATTTCTCATGCCATTGCTTTGGTGCCTGTTTTAAACCATATAATGATTTAACCAATTTACATACTTTCTTTTCTTTTCTTGGAACAGAAAAACCTTCTGGTTGTTCCATGTAAATTTCTTCATCTAATTCACCATTTAAGAAAGCAGTTTTCACATCCATTTGCTGAATTTCTAGATTGTACAATGATGCAATAGCAATTAGCATTCTAATGGATGTTATTCTAGTAACCGGTGAGTATGTGTCAAAGTAATCAAGACCTTCTTTTTGTCTAAAACCTTTGACCGCAAGTCTTGCCTTGTATTTGTCAATTGATCCATCCGCTTTCATTTTTCTTTTGAAAATCCACTTGTACCCAAGAGGTTTATAACCTAGTTGCTGATCCACCAATTCCCAAGTGTGATTTTGCAGGATGGATTCAACTTCACTTTTCACAGCTTTTTTTCATAAAGGAGCCTCAGGATTGGACATAGCTTCTTTAAAAGTTAAAAGCTCATTTTCTAACTAAAATGTTAGAAAATCTGGACCAAAAGATTTTGAAGTTCTAGCACGTTTACTACGCCTAGGTTCCTCTTCCTCATTTTGATCTATCTCTTGCTCTTGTTCTTGATCATGACTAGTAATAGCATCATAAGATCTTTTATTAGTACTAGTCTCTTGTCCAGTCTTGTTTGGAAATATATGTTCAAAGAATGATGTATTCTGAGATTCAATAACAATATTTACATGCATTTCAGAATATTCTGATTTATGAATCAAAAACCGATATGCACTACTATTCTTGGCATAACCAATGAAAATGCAATCAACAGTTTTAGGACATATCTTAATCTTTTTAGGACTAGGAACAACCACTTTAGCCAAACACCCCCACACTTTTAAATATTTATAGGATGGAACTCTCCCATGCCACATTTCATAAAGTGTTTGATTTACTTTCTTTCGGGGTACTTTATTAAGTATATAATTAGCAGAAAGTATTGCTTTCCCCTACAAGTTCTGAGGTAATCCAGAACTTGTTAACATGGCATTCATCATTTCTTTTAAAGTCCTATTTTTCCTCTAAGCAATTCCATTTTGCTGAGGTGAGTAAGGAGCGGTGGTTTGATGAATTATTCCATGTTCTTTACAAAACTCACCAAAAGGTGATTCATATTCATCACCTCTATCACTTCTAAATTTCTTAATTTTCTTACCAAGTTGATTTTCAACTTCATTCTTGTATTGAATGAAAGTTTCCAAAGTTTCATCATTGGTTCAAATTAAATAAACATAACTATATCTAGTATAGTCATCAATAAAAGTGATAAAATACTTTTTCCCACCTCTAGTTTGAATTGATTTAAAATCACAAATGTCACTATGAATTAATTCAAGTGGTTCCGTACTTCTTTCAATTGAATGAAAATGAGTTTTGGATAATTTTGCCTCAACGCAAATTTCACATTTATGATTTGAATCAATATCAAATTTAGGTAATTATTCCATATTAATTAATCTACGCAAAAATCCATAATTAGCATGTCCAAGTCTACCATGCCATTGAAGACTCAAGTAAGTAAGAAGAAAATGTATTTTTATTACTAACAGAGGGTATAACAGTCATTACATTCATTTTGAAAAGGCCATCAGACATGTAACCTTTTTCCTACATACATCCCGTTTTTGGTAAGTTCAAATTTGTCACTTTCAAAAACTATCCTAAACCCATTTTTACTCAACAAAGATCCGGAACAAGGTTCTTGCGATTGTCTGGTACATACAGCACATTGTTGAGAGTGAGTTATTTTCCATATGTCATCTTCAGAATAATCTTTCCTTGTCCTTCAACTTTGGAAGTTGAGTAGTTGCCCATAAAAAATTGTTCACCGTTGTCCACCACTGAATAAGATGTGAATATCTTTTTGTCGGTATAAATATGGCAAGTAGCACCAGTGTCTACCCACCACTCTTTAGATTTTCCGACAAGGTTTGCCTCGGAAACAACTGCAAAAAGATTTATAAAATCTCTATTGGAAATTTGTCCATATAGGCTTGAGCAAGCATCTTGCTTGATCTTTCTTTGCCTTTGCGTTTGCAACGGCAATCTTTGGCCCGATGTACCTCTTTGTCACAAATGTAACACTTGCCATTAGACTTGTACTTTTGAATTTCCCTTCCTCTAGATAGCATTTTCTTCTGCCATCTTTTAAAACCAGTTCCTAAAAACTTCTCTGGTTTTTCACCATGATTGACTGGTACAATCACAACAGGAGGAGGGGTTGGCGCAGTTGTAGCCACCATACCAGTACTGGTTTGAACATTAGTTTGACTAGTTTTAGTAGCCATGAATTCTAAATTATAAAACAAAATTATAATTATAATTTTATACTACACAGAAAATTTAAACCAAAACCAGAAAATTAAATTCTGTAAAATAAAAGAAACAAGAATTGTAACTTTTATTTTCAATTAATTTGAAAATAAAATAAAATTTTATTTAACCAAATTAATTCCACACAGAAAATTAAATTTCTGTAACACTTCAATAATTAAAATACTGAAACAGAATTTTAATTAATGAACACTCATAAATTATTTCTAAAAATCAAAATTAATTTCGGACAAACTTCACAAATAAATATTCTGAATTGTTAATGACACCAGTATATTACTACTAGTTATCAAAGAAAATAGACAGTATATTACTACTATCTGTCAAACAGTATATTACTACTATTTGTTTTTTCCATCAGAATATTATTTTGTAGAACCACATAAAATAATTTTTGTAAGAAGAAAAGAAACAAACGAAAAATTCTGTAAACAGAATACTTCGAATCTGTCTTAAGATTGTTGAATCAATCTTCTGTGTAAAATAAATAAATTGAAATAAATCAAACAAATAAAATAAATTACGTACCGAATTTATTCTACCGAACCGAATAAATATTTAAAAATCAAGTCGAGTGTATGACACTCTGCCCTTAAGACAGATTCACCCCGCTACGGTGCTTACGGATATATGGCGTCTATCTCCCATGATACAATGATCTTTACAAATTGTAGTAGCACTCCAAAAAATTTGTCCGGCGAACAAAAGTCTGTGTTCTTACTCTCTGAATTTTTGAAAAAAAATAATATGAAGATTATATCATGCAAGAGAGCAAAAGTAGAAGGTCAATGAAGAATTTCGGATTGAATGTCTGTGAGAACCCGAATATAAAAATTAAGTAAATGATTAAATAATAATAATATTACAATCTCAAATATTTTGATGGGGAATCCTAAAGTGCAAATTAATTAGTTGGAGTGTCTTTTAATTAATTTTAAAACCTAAAATAAATTTATGGTGAAAGTCTTTAATTTAAAGGCAAGATTTATTATTTTTAAAAAAATGAGTGACAAATTAGTAAGCATATTTTGATCTAATAATATTTGTATATTGTTTAAATTAATTCAGAGAGAAAATAAAATAAAACAAAAGATAATAAATTAGAGCCATTTGGTTAGATATATATATATATATATATAAAGGATAATAAAACCCTAATTCTTATGTTATTGTTTTCCACAATTTTTTGAGCAGCAATGAGAGGTAAAGAGAGGGAGAGAGACGTCTAGGCTTATTGGGTCAAAAGTGCTAAAAATTGTTGAGTTTTGTGGTGGCCATTAGCAAGGTAAATCCCTTATTTTTTTTGTTCCCTCACTATCTTTTTCTTCTTCTTGTGAGTTGCTGCGTAGTTGATGGGTCAAATCGGTGAAGTAGGTACATGTATTGGGCATGGCTATGAAATATTTGGCTGATTGGGATAGTGTTTTGTGTATAATCATGCAAAAGTTTAAAGCAAATTAAGGAGCTAAAGTCGTTAGATAAGAATTATGCACAGAATCACAAACTTTAAAAATCAAGAAACCATATCAAACGGATGACTTTTGAACTGAAATTTTTACAGTAGATTAATTACATATTGAATTGCATATCTGAATTTTCTCAAAAATTTTGGGAGTCGAAATCTATATTAACTGATGCGTTCAAATCTGTCCAGAAAACTGGTTTAAAACAGTAAATTCGGGAGTGTCGTTCTCTTTGGGTGTAGATCCGAAAATTATCAAATTAGTGTCACTAGAACCGGTTACGAGTCTAGTTTTGTAAATTTTTGGCCTTGCATTGATTTCTTGTGTATACTAGGAGAACCATTATTTTATTTAAAGTGCTGCAGAAAACAACCTGTTTGGTCATAATTAACTGCAAATAATTATTTTGATAAGCAAATCAAGTAAAACCAATTGGGTTTGAAACTTAGGATATATTAGTTGATATCTGGAGGGTTTTAGAATTTTTTGAACAGTGTAGAGTGGGTTTTGTTATTTTCAAAGTTAGCGAATAGATTGGGAAAACCTGTTTAAAACTCTGTTTTATCTTAAAGTTACTTTTAATTAATTTTCGATTTGAACCCATGTCTTAAGTAATTTTAGACCTTGAAGAACATGAGCTTAGGCAATATTTAAGGGTAACGGTGAGTTGGGTTGAGCTGTGTTAGTGCACTTTAGTGTGGGGTACTTAGTTTATTATTCTCTTTAGTATTTTTAAATTAGTAGTGACGTGTAGTCTTCATACTTGGTTCAGGACACTAGTTGGACTTTCATAATCTATTCGAGGATTATATTATTTCATTTTCAGGTGAGTAGTTTCATACTACATATTTTTATAAATGTTCCATACCCTGAACTGTTGGAAAATTAAATTGTTATTTCAAGACTAAACTGTTTTGATAAATTATTATATTATCAATGGAATCAAATTATTTCTGAGACACGTGTGAACTTGGTATACTGTAAACTATTTGTTTTGGTCTCATGTTTATAATGGTGAACTACCATGTTTTGTGAAACTGATGTGTATTGATTATTGGGACCATTTGTGTATTTAGTCCAGAAAAATTATTCCACTGTGTGTGATGACTCTGGCCACTAGGGAGCAGATCCGGGTTGGGCTGTGATGACTCTAGTGCTCAACGATTGTAAGGAAAAGACCTACATTAAGTTAGGTGAACTACAATCAGATCGTCTTAGAGAAAAGACCCAAGTTTCCACCCTGAGGATGACTCTTAGTTCGATATTGGATCCAACGGGGCTTATAGCCTTGAGAACTGTGTGACATATTATTTATTATTTCTTGGTACCCAGAAAATTATTGGTGTTCATGTTGTAATCTGTTTTAAGTGAAAAATGTCATTTATCATGTTCTTGAGAGACATGAGCATTTTAACTATTGTACTGTGGAACATTCTTTTTTAAACAGATTCTCTTTACCAAACTGTATGTTAATCTAGTTTCTGTGATATATATCTTATTTTGGAATTGAACCCTGTTTTCAAAACTGTATTTACTATACATGTTGCTACTCACTGAGCTATCAGCTGTCTTAGTTGTTTATCATTTCCAAGTGTTAGAAGGACTTAGAGTGGACTCATGGCATAGTGGGGACTCAATTGCATGGACCTCTACGACATTCATTTATTTTGTTTTAGATTGTTATGTCAAGGTTATACATATTTATTTTTATTTTTATTGAGGTTCATTTAGGATTATTTTGATATGTGGGCTGTTTATATCTCATATGTTTGGATGGTATTGATTACGGTTGGTTTTGCCGTTTATACTTGTGGCATGTCACTGGATTGAGTTTGGTTATTTATTATTGGACTATTGTATAGTTATTCAATGTGTTTCTATATTTGTGTTTAGGCTTACGTGTGCCTTGAGCTAAGTCCCTGTGGGCCACGGCCGGTCATGCTCGGATTTGGGGTGTGACAATGACTGCTGGAAAATGGTTGTATTTATAGACAATCCAAGGCTGTCCGAACAGGTATGAATCTGCTGAACAAATACAGATTTTGAATGAGCAGGTATAGACTTTTTTTGAACAGATTCAATTCAAATTTTGAACAGATCTGCAAACGGTTTGGCAGTTTTAAAACTGCTTAGAACTACTGGCAGTTTTCCCAGTCTGTTGGACAGTTTGAACTTGTTGAACTACTGAAAATGGACTGGAAAAACGGGTACAGATTGGACCCCAAAAAAATGGCGCAAAAAATTTAAATAAATAAATTTTTTCCCACAATAATTTTTGAAAAAATTCAAATGAATTTTTTTCAAAAAATTAATATTAGAACCGGCCCGACCCACACCCCACACCCGTGCCCGGCATGGCTCGGCTCATCCGGACGACGGAGGCACCCGCGCGTGTGTGTAGTGGTTTGAGCTAAGGTTTTATTTTTCCATAATTCCTCTCTTCTACAAACTTAGAGTGCCCCTTGGGCCCCAACCTAAGTATTGTCACCTAGAACCTATACACACACATAAGTTCTCTTCAAGTTTCAATGTGGGGCAAACCTCACATGGAAATCCACATTAAATTCTTTAATTGTCCATTCCACGAACCCGAAAATGACATCAAGTTCCCATTCACTCATAAATGGTCTTGACAAACAGTCTTCACCGTGTGAGTTGTCATGCGGTAAGGAACACGTCATCTCTTCGAACCCACCCCAAAAGACGTGTGGACCCCACTCAATTTTGGGCTCAAAGATGGCCCAAAATAAACCTATATAAAACCAATTTTCCAACAAGAACAACTTATAGGATTTAAGCCCCATGTAGATTGTCTAGTAGTAAACCCAAATGGTTCGGAAATTGACATTTGTGCTTAAGTTCAGTATTTGAAAATTAATTAATTTTTTTTTGTAAATTTCAATTTTCTTAGGAATATTTTTAGTTCCTCCTCAACTTTGCTCCTTCCACCCAACCATGGCCTTACCCTTCCACCCTTGCAAGCTTTGAAATCAAAGGGCCCAACAAACCGACACAGCCTTGCAAGCTTTGAAATCATAGCAATGATAGGGCTTCGTTTTAGTAGAGTTTGAAGTAATGAAAGAATTAGTGCAAGAAAGCTTTCACTTTTTGAATCACCATGTCCCTTCATTTATATTTATACAGTTAAATAAATGCTGAATT